TTTCACATCACGATCATTTCAAAGCCCTATTTCCGGTTATTGTCTGTTGGGAAAATCTTAAACTTAAAACTGTTTCTTTTATCAGGTGAGGTCCACTGAGTCATATAGCTATTTTTCAGAAGCGATCTGGCCACAACTGATAGCTCAACGGAGTGGCTTATCACATGTAAATGTATAGCAGCCAAATACTCTAAACGCATGTTGATTCTAAATGTGTAGGGAAAAGCCAGAGGACCCGGAGAAAATCCACGTTACCACGGAGAGAGAGACACGCAAATTCCAAACATACAGTCGTCAGGGTTAGGATCGAACCCATGACCTCCTGTATACCAGGCGAGGTAGTTAACATCTCACCATCATGGCGCGCATATTTGCTGTGACTTTACCGAAAGAACCAAACAGTATAGATCCCTGCAATCAGGAAAACTTAAAATATAGATTGCTGTAAACTATTTAGAGATGAAATGTCATTGTACAGCAAATTGTTGGCTATGTTACTTCTCAAATTAAAACACGTTACGAGAAAGTCTGTTGACTGACATGCTCCACAGCGCTGCCAGTTTGCGCATGGTGGGACTGATCGTTCTGCTCCCACGTCTGGAAGGCTGTATGTTTTTGTAATTGGTGAACTGTCCATCTGAATCTCCTTCTGGAATGAGGGCAGCACGTCAAGCCAACAGACTGCTCCAAAAAAAATATGCCAAGGCAGAAGCGCCTCAGGAGTTACTTCAATAAAGTTTGCTAAACTGACATGCGAGGGTTCTTCTTTATGCCCTGCAAAGTGGGTTTAACGCACGTCAATCACACCATCGACATCAGTAACGTATCTCCCCCAGAGCTGGATTAAGCAGCATGAAGGAAAAAAGAATCCGCCAGTGGATGATTTTTTTTTGTGTGTCGGCGATATGTGGCACTGTGACCGAGAGTCCGGCTTGCAAATGGGATGTTGTGTTTAAATGTAGAGTCATAAACGACTGGGTGCATCATCCCTTTGGGGTTGATAAAAAAAAAACATTTGACTGAGGTTGCTTTGTACAGGGTGCTCGAGATGTCTTGTGAACTCAATTATTTATCTAAAACGTAGTATTTCTAAAGTAATGTTTATTTAAAACAAAAATGAATATGCAAATGACTGTTTTTATGGGTCAATGAATGGGGGGGGGGGGTCACAAGACATCTGGACCGCCCTGTTGAGAGACTGCTCCTTTCATAGAAATGTGGAATTTTCATGACTTCTCATGACATGTTTAGGGCTGCCAATGGCGATTAGAAATGGCTCGTCTTGATATGAGTGAGAAGGCTTTGTAATTCATATTTTTTACCAGGTTGAGACCACAGACACACGACAGTTGATAACCGTATTTAATTGTTGGTAGACTCGAGCCTTGTTTTATTTTTGATGGACTACACGAAACACTTTGGAAGAGTGGACAGTCAACATTTGTGCTAAGAGTTTGTGTGCTGGAGGCAGGATTAATGGGGTGTAAATATTAAGGTTAAAGAGCTGCACATGAACTAAGTAACTTTGAACAAAACTAAATACTTTCCAAACTTTTAAACAAACGTGCACGGTGCATAGAGGCAGCGAGAAATTTCACGTAGGTAAACAAACGTGAACGTTCGTAAAAAATAACGTGCAAGCAGAGAGTTGTTAGTTTAATCAGGAGTTGTGGTTGGGTTGATGCTGGCACGTTGGCACGTTGGCATGGTGGAGAAGGGCAAGCTACCGAGACAGACACTGGAGTGTCAGAGCAGACCTTGGAGGTCACGTGTTCATTGCTAAACAGATGCAGGATCTGGCAGATTGAAGAAATGGCAAGATGTGGTGGCGTCGGTGGATTTGGCTGTGACGACCTCTTCAAATAATGACCTTCCAAGTACTAATTTTCACTTAGGTAGAGTTTCAGGTGAAAAAAATTCGGACGTCAATACAATTGCATATTATATTTTAGGTTAAGTCTCACAAAACAGCTGACGTTGAGCCTCAGCGCATTAACGATGGATGACGCTTTGTCTTATTCAGGCTCTGGTAGTAGCATATGGAGAAAGCCACCGCTATCATACCCGAGCCAAAACAGCATGTTTCGTCATCAGAATCAAATATATATTTAAAACGCTCACGAGTGTCTGATTCGGCATTTGGGTTTTTTCTGCAATTAGACTTTGAGCCATAAAAAAATGTATTGGCTCTTAACTTAAAGCTTTCGTAACTGCAGGAATTAATATTCTTGGGTCTTTCGGTAAAGTCACGTTGATAGTGACTTTACCGAAAGACCCAAGAATATGTATTGGCTCTGTTAAAAGCTTCAAATATGAACCTTCGGAGTATTTTAATTGGTTGCAATACACAAAACGTGTTCTCTTCATGCATAATTGCAAGAACCGTGACTATATTTATTCATGATTTCAAGAACTGCGAGTGCATTTTTGTAATCGTACTTGTGTGAGAGCATGTGCGTGACAACAGCGTAATGCGTCAAGGCAGACAGTTGGACTGCATGATACTGCAAAAGTAAAAGGGTCACCCGATCGCGAATGTGATGAATTGCCATCAGTTCAGCACATAGCCAAGCAATGCCCATTACGCGCTCACACAGGAGGTACGGATGCCAGACATCAAGCTGCGCTTAATAATATAATTAAGCATCTCAATGCACAGTTATATCTTGCCACTTTTGTTTTTGTCAGATGACTATGACATGTATTAGAGACTGTGACCGTTTCTAACTCAAAATCAAAACCTAGCGACTTTCAGGCCAGGGGATAAACTCATATCATCATCTCACCAGGGTTGATACAAAATGTGCATTTTATTGGCACACTGTGGGGAAGTTAAGTGGCTAACAGAGATTGTCCAATTAAGTGGAGCCCCACCATGAGCACAGCAGAAAAACCTCCAATCCGCATTGAGACTGGGAGGCACTCTTTGTCGATGAGCTTTTCATATTATCCATTGAAATCCTGCGATTGGCAATGGCTTAATTACGACAGATGACATCAGCACTAAATGGGACATGATGCAATGCTCAGACTTAGATTATGACGATCATGAAAAACAAAGAAGGCCATGTTTTATACTTTTGAAAGCCAAATGTGTACATGGCTGCACAAATGACCTCGGATAATAAACCAGTGTTATATCGAGATCAAGGCTGGGGGATAAACGGGAAAAAAAGTGCAGATGGACGCTCACACGGCAAAAAACTCCCAGATTGTGTCGGCAATTTCAGAAATGTGTGGAGGTACATTTGAAGCCTTCAGAAATCTTACGACAGAGGTAAATGAGATCTAGAAACACCAAGGGAAGGATTTGAAATGCCAGTGTTTGAGAGAGCAGCAATGCTTTTACGTACGACAATGACAAAGCAATACAAGTGCATGTTCAAACTGGATGACAGCAATTATTCATGTTTATACTCTGTCTTTCATCTAAAGATCACAAAGCACTGTTCACGTGAAATATTTCAACACTCCATACAAAACAAGATCAATCAGAACAACAACAAAAACACGCCTCGTGCGTGGTCAGTGAACGTAAAGAATGCTCAGGATAGCTGCTCGGGATGAGCATGAAACGTTGCAGGCTCAAGGCCTTCTGCTCGATGACCAGGGAGACGTATCAAGGGTTACCCAGACATTGAGGCATTTGGCAGAAAGAAGAAAAACGTCACTGGAGTTATGGACTTTTAAAATCTAGATCGATAACTAATATCTTTAGAACTGATTTTGTGTTTAGTTTGTTGTCCTTATCCCGCACGTCAGATTAGCATGGTTGGCTATGTATGATACGAAAGAAGTTCAAAACACAGTATGTACGTACAAGATTCAGAGGCATCAACGGCATCGATCACAATAACATTGTGTCCTTCGTCTTTGTATGAAATACAGTGGTAGAAATGTAAAAACGTTCCGGTCCCAGAATGAGACCTATTCCTCCTGCAGCAGCCCACGTTCACTGCCGCATCCCATACGTGGAAACATTGCAGAATAGGAAGAGGAACAGTTCCGAAAAGTGCCGGATTGTGTGTTTGATGTTCTGAGATTGTATTTATTTAAATCATTTTGCAGTCGTTCATCTAAACTTAACAAACAAGAATTAGGCATTGCAGCTCCTCGAAAAACGTGAAAGAAAAGAAATACCTCCACAACCTATGGGAGATAAGTAGTCGAGTACAGGTTAAATCAATACCGCGTGACCTGTTTACAATTTACATAGAATAATGTATAACTCCAGCCTGCTAGGGAAGATTGCTGTAATGCCTGTGTCTGTCACGTGGACTTGAGAGAGGCTGTTCGTATGAGTATTGCTGCTGCTTCCACAGCGGCGCGCGCACCAAAGGAGATAGTGGCCGCATCCCATTTCCGCACTGATTGACTCGCATTCCCTGCATACATGGCCTCGAGAGATGGCAGCTGAGAACCATTTGAGTCGTACAGATGTCCTTATTTCTACACCTCTGGCTACCGTATGGAGTTTTAACGAACAACATCAACTTCACGCAAGTATTAAAGCGTGGGTCATTACGCACTTATTAAAAACAAAGACCGCTGCTTGACATCGTACGCTGCATGGGCAAGCGTTGCTAATGAGCACCTACTAAATTCATCAAAAGGCCATCTAGCTGCTGACGTTCACAAATCGAGTCAGGTGCTCGTTTACAGCCGAGCAGACCTAGGGCAGACCCAGGATAGATGTGGAAAGCACTCGAGGCCTACTCCTGACCGTTCTGCTGGAAACTGTCGCGCCAGCAGCTGCCGTGAGCAAGCGACGAATAGGGCTGCACATTTTTTCACCTTTGTTACATTTTACCCTCGGAGCTCCATGACGGCCTGACGGCTGCGCGATGTCCTTGGCTTCACTTACGTGAACGTAGCGTGAACAAGCGTGCACAATGTAGCGCCGTAAAAAGTGGCCATGCGAAGACGCTGGCGTGCGTGCCTGTATGCGCGTGCATGTGTGCATGGGGGTAGCAGCTGTTGCGTCAAATACAGAACCTTACCCAAGGCCACTCTAGCAGCAGAGGCATCGTAATTGATCCAAAAGGAGACCCAGGAGAGGATTGTGATGAGTGTTGACGGCATATAAGTTTGCAGGATGAAATACCCAATGTTCCTTTTTAGCCGGAAGCTGAGAGAAAGCCGGGGATAGGAACCTGGAGAAGAAGAGAGACTTACATTACCATTAAATTATTTAGCCTTCGGAGAGATACAATATTTCACACTGTTGAAAACATTTAAATTAATCAAAACCATGCAATCTTTACTTATCACGTTGTAATATAAATCCAATTATACATTTTCTCAGTTATATTCATAATCAAGTCTAATAACCTCACTTACAATGTTCATTGTTTAATATGCATTCATTTCATTTGACAATGTTACCAACTTATTACATCAAATGTTTTGATATGTCCTTGTAATACATACATGTGCACGTTTTAAGATAAAATTACAAATACTGTTTCAGCCTTCCTGCTGCACGAGCACATCTTCAAGCTGCAACATTGAGTTACAATATGATACAATATTATGCAAGTGCTTGAGAAAACCATTAACTGAGCCTCAAAACTCAGCTTAAGGAGGGCTATACTTGTGAAGTTCGCCCATCATCTTATCGAGTAGTTTTGTAACCGGATGTAACCTGAACATTTCGATAAACGCTACGCGTTTAAATTGGACCTTCTGTATTTCCATTTGAACAGTTTTGGCCTGATCATGAGCTCTGTCACCCGTGTTCTGCATCCTATGATGTGTTTCTGATTCTCTCTGTCCTTGTTTTGTTCATGATGCTTCTTTTTTTCATCGCTCGTTGACCCACATGTAGCCTTTTTGCAATGGCTGGCTTGTCAGCCAGCGACTACGTTTGTACACATATCCTGTAATGTTGTCAAATACCAGTATGATTTTCATCAAGCAATTGTGACCCTATCTTGTATGTTCCTTAAAATCCACTTTTTGTCCGAGATATTTTTTATTCATCATGTTTATGTTGCCAAGCAGGATTGAGCCTGGAGGATGTTTGGATCGGCAATCACCTTGCACAAACAAGTTGTCATTGGATGGCTGCAGAACGATAAGGTCTGGGCAGTCGAGGGCAGTGTGGGTAAAACTCCATTGTTGTACTATACTCCATGTTCCCATATCTATCCTCCCTGCCTTCTCCAACCCATACTATCCAACAAGCTGACATGTGGTAAAATATATCCTGCAACCCGCACGGTGTGGTGAGGCCCTCATTCAGCAGTGGATCTCCAAAAAGCCCACGCAAGTGGGGTCGTATAGGCTTCAATGACATTCCTGTACGATGGTACAGGTCTATAAATAAAACAACATATCTTTGTCCGTGTAAAAATGGGAATGCAGAGTTAATGCAGATGATTTGCCACTACGTGTTAATTGCGATTGGAGCTATATAACATTGCCTTAAAAAAACTGTAACTTTCAGACATGCAAATGTGAAAAAAGGAAAGTTACCATTTTTACCAAAAGTGTTTTTCACCCCCGGGTTTCGCAGTCTAAGCATTGCGAATTTGTAGCAGCCAGGGCACATTTCAACTTTGAGATATTTTATGTCAGCCCCATGAGACCTGATGTGCTGAAGTCAGGCTCAGTGATATTTCCACAGGCCTTTTGGGAACTGAAAATGTATCCCTATCCACTGGAGCCCCCCTCGGCTGTGAATGTATCCAGTCACTAGCACTCGCACTTAGAATGACTCCACATTAGGCAAAGCCAACGGAGCTTATTAAAATATTTTCTAAGTAACTCTACCTTATAAAAAAAAAACTGTTCAGCAATTACTTTAATTTAAGCATCGTTGAGGCACGGACCAGAACATTGAGTAAATAAAAATAGAAAAGAGAAACATAATCAAAGCCAATATCAATCACGATGCTCCCGTCATAATTGAGTGACACAAGTCATTGCGTCGACACCCACGAGCCACTTCCTGCTCCTCCCGCAGTTGTGGGCGGGGGCACACCGTAATGGTGATTCACCGCTAAGGGCAGTGACCTTGAGTGGCCCAAAGGGACATTTGGTGGAGCAGGGTCCACCCCAGATCCCCCTAGCGCTGACCCTGGGCACGCACCAGGAAGGCAATGAGGATCCTGTAGAGAAAACGTGTTTAGAGGTTACCTGTAAGAAATTTCTAACATATGGGATTTCTATACTCACACACAGAAACACAGATCCTCTGTATAGCCTTCACAGACTGTTGGGGCGAGTGCTGTTAGAGAGCATCTATGAAGGCCAGCACAACACACTATGGGTTGAGAATCTAGCACGACACGCCCGTCCGCCTTTGTCACCCCAGTGGTGATGATTCACACATCACACCAGGTACTCATTTGAGGCTGAGTCGACCTAGAGGAAGCCCAAGACCGGTTAAGATAATTATCACTGAAATTGGCCGTAAGTGCGAATTTAACTCGGGTAGCCAGGTTCGTAGCGCAACGTGCTAACTGCTACACTCATACACACTCAAGAGAGAAACTGATCAAACATGCCCAGCAGAAGGGATCCTCCTGAAAAGTGTAAAAATATAAGGAAGGCTTCCCTGAGTAAACAATGGAAGATCATTATTTATTTTTAGTTGAAGAACAATTCTTTAGCCAACATTGCAGGTCACCGAGTAATTGGCTCTGACGTTTAAAGGTCAAATGTTAAATTTATACTCTTAGTTCTTTCGGTAAAGTCACGTAGGTAAAAAATGAAATTCAAATTAATAAAAATCACGACGTTTTGGAGGCAACACAAGCTTCCGTCTTCAGGTGAAACCGTCACAGCAAAATAGCTGTACCTTATAAAGTGGTTGAGGGGGGAGGAGCCAGGAAGGGCAGCGGGGGAGGAGGAGTTGAAAAGTGGTCAATTACTGCTTTTGTTATACTGCTGGGTGAGTAAATGAATTAGATACGATTAAGCCGCTCTTGGTTATGCTGTTTGTGCGCAAGTCACTGTGGGATGAATGGACTCGTGGTCAGGGACGTGTTGCGCAAGTAACTGTGGATGTACATAATAGAAAAGGAGCAGAAATGCCCATGTTTATACCAGTGTTGGCTGACAATAAAGAGTACTGTTAAACGTTAGGGATGTTAACACTCGGTGAAGTAAAATAGTGCCTGTGATATAAGATGGTCCAAAAATGTATAATTAAATCTTTTTTGCATGGTTGATAACATCTTTCCAATGATTACTAAGTTTGTACCCATCATCACGGTTGAAATTATATTTGTGTTTGTATATCTGAATGGCTTCGTGTACAAACCTTTGATGGTAGCCAGAAGGCTTGCAGAGCACCTTAGTCTCGGAGAAAACGATCTCATGAGAGCCCACCGCGTTGTAGCAATGATCGGCAACGGCGGACGACTCAATTTTGCCGTGTTTCAAATCTGACTTGTGCTCGCGGACACGATCAGAGACATGACGTTTCGTTTCCCCAATGTAACAGTCACCACAGCTGCAACTCAGTTTATAGACTCCAGGGTATTGCAAGTCAGGGATGACATCCTTCACAGATGGAATTAGATCACGGATTTTATGTACTGTACTGAATCGGACTTGGATCTTATGTTTGTTTAGAATTTTGGAGATCTTTTTGGTCACGCCTGCTATGTATGGTAACGTGACAGTTTTGATCGGAGTTTCAAGTGGCTGTTTCTGTATGGTGGGAGAAACAGCTTGGCGGATGGTGCGTTCAGAGTATCCGTTCATCCTGAGGACCCGATGTACATGTCTCAATTCACTGGCCAGGTGGTGTTGGTCAGAAATGCCATGAGCTCTGTGGTATAGCGTTTTGATGAGAGAATTCTTTTGAGATGGGTGGTGGTGAGAATCCGGTTTCAAGTAGGAATCTGTGTGGGTGGCTTTCCTGTAAACCGAATGTCCCAAGGATCCATCAGGTCTCCTTTCAAACAGAATATCTAAGAATGGTAGTTTGCCATCTTTCTCCACTTCCATGGTGAATCTGATGGATGTCTGGAATTGATGTGGTCTAAGAAGTGGTTCAATGCTGAGAGGCCATGTGGCCAAATGACGAAAGTATCATCCACATACCTCTTCCACAGGGAAGGACGCAGGGTGGATGTCTGGATGGCGTCTGATTCAAACTTTTCCATGAACATGTTGGCTATCACTGGTGACAAGGGGGAGCCCATAGGGGTGCCCTCATTCTGTTTGTAGAAGGTGCCATTCCAGGTAAAATAAGTGTTGGTGAGGCAATGCCTCACCAGCGCAGGTACATCCGAATTCAATCCATGTTGGACCAAATCCTCAATTATTGTTAGGGTATCAGGCACTGGAACTTTGGTAAACAGAGATACTACATCAAAACTATGCCATTGAGCAACCTCCAAAATATGTGAGTACACTTTAGGGTTGTAGCCCAAAGTAATGTAAATATGAGCAGAACTAGTGTCAGTCAACACTCACTTTCGATCATCCATACAAGATTGTTAAACGTGATGGATCATGTTGGTTGCATAGTACAAATACAAACTAAAAACTCACTACCTTTCTGAGTCACACTGCCTTTATGTGAGAATACATCTAAAGTACTTAGCTAAAAATAGTATAATAAGGGAACACTCACCAAAATGTCAGCCAATCATATATTCTTATATACCAGTGTTGATGACAAGGTGGTGTGAATCTAACTTCATTTCAGTTAGGATGAAGGCAGAGGAATGGCCCAGGATGGGTATTTCCAAACACCTCATCTTCATTCAAGATAACAGGCTGAAATACCGAAACAGCAAACGGTGACCCATGGCTCGTTATGTTTTTTACCTCTTGACTAAGATGTGCCTGTGGCACATCAGTGGCCAAGACTGCCGTGCGTATTGAGCCAGAGGGCCGCCGTCCACGCGGACGTCCGAAGAAGCGATGGATGGACCGAATAAAGGAAGACATGAAGACGGTCAACGCATCCCCTGAAGATGCCCTGGACCGAGCCAAATGGAGAAGACAATGCCGAAAAGCGGACCCTGCGCCACAGCGGGAACAACGCTAGGAAGAAGAAGACTAAGATGTGCCTCGTTTTTTACACTTCCAAGACAAGGGTGCTGGTTAGAGACGCAGGTGCTGGAGTGGTGAACTACTCACCTGTGGCAAACACCACGAGGGTGGAGACGAGACGGAACTCCATGATGGAGAACTGTGGCAGCTCAATCTCGCTCACTCCCGTCACCGCCGCGTCTCCTCCACGCCAGTAGAAGCCGATGTCGTCCATGGTGTAGCCATCTGCAGCGGTCGCCCACAAAACGCAGCCACAGATGTTGAAAAAGGCCTGTAGCTACAGCTGCTGTTTGCTTCCTAAGTGATGAAGGCCACAGGTCGGTTGCCACCTACATATTTTTTTAATCAAGTTCAAAGGCCCAAAAAATAAACCTAACACATTTCCCGTACGTATATAACGAAATCAGAAGAGAACTCCTCAAAACGGAGATCAGTTAAGAACACTATGGGTTCACCACAGTTGGGCCATAGATGGGAATCAGCAGATTCACGGGGAAGGAAAAGAAAGGGAAGAGAGGAAGGGAAAATAACGTAACCAATACATTGAAAATAACATGAATGCTATGTCTAGGTCTACTTTTCTTGCTCCCTCTTAGGAACAACGATTGCCAGGCTCTCACTTTAATGTTTCCACGTCCTAGATCCCGCCTCCCTCCCCAGCCCCCATTACTCCGACCACTCACACAGGGTTCAGTAGACAGAGACCATGTCGCCTCATGCTGCGATTCCTTCCCTTGCAGTGTATAGCCCAGGTGTTATAATCCTAAAGGCAAGGATAATTATCGCGCCACAAACCCCAAGCAAGGGCTTTCATGAGCTTTACAATTCACCAGGATCGTCTTTCTTGTCACAAATTTAAAACATTTGAAGCAGAGCATGTTGATGTCGTGATACTCCCCCCTTTGGTGTCAAGCCCCACAGAATTGAGTCGACTGAGGTGCTTACCACGAATCCGGTTATAGTCTGATATGTCATGGTAACATTCCGAGATGTCTGAGAACGTCCAGAAGGCGCGTATGTACTGTGTGTTTGTAATATGCCTTACGGGCACCTAGGGCGATCTGGAGAAGATTTCATACGATTTGGCTCTGTCATTGGACAGTGAGGTCCAATGCATGAACTTGAACTGAATGCTTTTCAATGGGAGCCACCTGGGTACTGCCGCTGGGGCCCGCCATATCTGTGGTCATCTCTGGTGGGGAATGTCCTCTCCCAGCAACCTTTCCCACAACTTTATAGTTTTGGGTCTGACTCGGTTTCCGCCATTGTCAATTAGGTGATACGCCTCCACCAAATTAGTATTTTTTTGCTTTTTGTCCGCAAGCCAATCCACAATGCGGTGAGAGCTATAGTCAAAGTAATTTTTGAAGCTTTACTGATGGCACCTCTTATCTGAAGATATCTATAGAGGTGTGTCTGCGGAACACCATAATGTGCCTGCATTTTCTGGAACGATTTCACCTTCCCTTCCTTGGTCAGAACGTCCCCCACCCTTTCAAAGCCAGTTGCTCTCCAACCAGGCCAGTTAATCCCTGTGCCCTCTGATTTTCAAATATGGGTTGCCCCAAAGAGGGCACTGTCTTTGCATTAAGGAGGGGAAGGAGATTTGCTTATCCCTGCATATCCCCAGGGTCCTGGAGACCGTCAATATCGGCCTGAGACCACGCAGCCTATCTTTAACAGGGCCGAAGGCAATCCCTGCAAGTGACCAGAGGCTCACATAGCCCTCCTGCCCATCTCTTCCCTATCCCTTTTCTTTACAGGTGAATCAAGTGCATTATTTTCTGCAGTGCAATTGCTTTGTGGTATTCCAAGAAATCGGGGAGGGCCATGCCCCCCTCACTCCTGGATAAGGTAAGGGGATTTAATAAATTCGGAATATTTAGTTGTTCCACATCTACGCATGAGGCAATATGCGAGTGAAGCGTTTAAAAGAAAGCCTTTGGGAATGTGGGTGGGTATTGGAGCTTCGGTAAGACCACCTTCTTCATTAAGTGTGTCCTATTAGAAAAAAAGAAAGGGAAATATCTGAACATACGTACCTCCAGTGAGGTAGATATTTCTTGAAGAATGGGAGGGGACATTTTTTCTTCCGGAATAGGTGACGTACGAGATGAAGGGATAATTACCCCCAGGTATATTATTTGTGCTGGACGCCACCTAAAGGGCAGACGTCCTTCCAGTGGTTTCGGGGATATGTGGGGAGGGGTGTTGTTGGGTCTTAAATGTGGAACGGCATAATTTTTTCTACTGTGGAGATGGTCAAGAAGATATATAACATGGTCAGTTACCGAGACCTAACGAGACAGGAATTCACTTCGGAGGGTTACGTCGTGAACACAGATTCTCACGTGACGACAAAGTATCAAAAAATCAATCGCATGGCAGACAACAACAAAATTGATTTCTGGAAAGCTTTTTGATAATGCACATAGAGATTCCACTTTGGAACACAGTAGAGGGCATGAACAGTCTACACAAAGGCAGCCATCGTCACGCAGTTAAACCCGGATTTCAACAAGGGTAGCCGTTTTTTTTTTCAAGTTGCCGCAGATGTTTGTCAGGGCCGCATCTTGTCGTCTCCTCCAGCTGCTGATATCGTGACTGAGTGATGAGAAGAGCAACGCCAGCATTGGCAACAACCAGCAAATCAGCACCTGCCACTTCAGACAGCTCAACGGCGAATATGAATGACTCGACGCAATTGCAGACAAGATTAGGGTCACGAAGATTGGACTATGGAATTATGGCATTAGAGTGTGGAAGTGAATAGAGATAGAACAGACCCACGATTTCTGCTGCCTGGGATGTAACATATCAAGCAATGGTAGACACAACGGAGAAATAAGAATCGGGGTTAGATTGGCAAATGCCACATCTGTGAAGCTTACCGATGTATGGGACGACACAGGGTTTTGTGGAGCTGAGATTGTTGTAATTGCAGAAAGGTTGGAATAAGCCCAACATGACCAGCTCAGGTGGAATGCTACACAGACCTACGGTAGCGAGATGTTAACTACCTTGCCTGGTATGGAGGAGGTCGTGGCCTCGATCTGGAGCCTGATGCCTGTATTTTTGGAATTTGCATGTTTTTTCCGTGATCGCGTGGATTTTTATCCGGGTCCACATTCATAATAAAGATTCCTTTAAAGTATTTGGCTGTTATCAATTTTTACGTAATAAGCCATTTCATTGAGCTATAATCTGTGGCCAGGTCCCTTCTGAAAAAAGAGCTATATAGCTCAGTCGGCATTACCTAGTGAAATAAAAATAGATTATAGTTTCATCTTTTTAGTAACGAGCAAGTCTGCCAAGTAACAATAATCGATTAATCACATCGATCACCAAAGAATACCGCCTAAAGTGGCTGAATACGTGCACTGCATGGCTTCGAACATTAAGGTGCATCAGCAATTGACGTTGGTTGTGCTGAAAACGAGCTGGAGCCAAATGGTGTAAAATTACACGGCACCCAGAAATGTCATATGGAAATGACCGCGACGGGTTTCAACACGCTAACAACGTTCACGGTGTGTACACAAAATCTCTCAGTCTCGTGCATTATGCAAAACCACCAGTTCCTGAAGAATAGCACTGTGGCCATCTTGTAGTAAGTAACCATCAATAAATGGAGCAGCAACATGTGAGCAACAGACAGCCAGCAGTGAGACAAAGGTAGAACAATTTCATGCTTATTAGGACTGATGAGTACCATCACCAATGCTCACTGCTACTAAGTTTAGGTCTGGGAAGTTCGCATATGTAGAGACCCCACTTCGACACAATGGAAACCCATTATTTTGCTTGATGGCAATACAAATTGACATCTGTAAGTGACAAAAAAAACATCACTCCGGAAAATGTGCAAGATAAGCTCCCGACTGATGGCACAAGGCCGTGATGAGAGGATGAATCGGGATGCCCGATTCGTCAGTCCAACAGGATGGACTAAACAAAGTCAAGGTCTGTGGAGCTGGTGGGGTGTCCATGAGTTGGTGCACAGAACAGCTGCTTGTACGTGGAGTGGCCGCCGCCGGTGTGCATCAAGAGCAGGGATTATCAAGGTGCTTGTGCACAGAGCAGGCACTTCGATATAACAACACAGATATGTGTCGCATGGACCCGAGCGACTCGTGTACTGGAGTGACGAGTGTACAGGAGTGTCGCGTGTACAGGAGTGTTGCGTTTACAGGAGTGTTGCATGTATGGAGGTTTCTGTTGCGAGGGATTTTCTTAGCATCTGCAGACCTGAATTAGAGCGGGCACTGTGAGCGTGTGTGTGTGTTTAGCTGGTATAAAAATGCACGGAGCATAGATTACTGGTGTCCTTGTCCGCTGAAGCAGAAGTGTCCATGTTTACATGAAGAGAGCACGGGTTTTTTGTATGAATGTATGTATGTTGAACTCCTTTCACACCATACATAGCCGGCCATGCTAATCAGAGGTGCGAAATCGGAGGTGTACAGCTGTGCGTATGCATTACATTATTTTGTATTTATTACGTGTGTACTTTTTGTTGACTCCCAGAGACAGAATGATTCAGAAGTATCGGAAACCACATATCATTATTTTCCTGGTTATAATCAGGAAAGTTCCAGAACCAGCACCAACAGCTGCTCAAGCTCTGTGGTCCGAGATTAAGGTGTTTGGCCTAATCCATTAATGAGAGTTAATATACTGAGATGGCTCTACTAAAGATCACTGATGAGTTCGACAACTTCATGGATGATCGGTGCGCTGCAGCGTTGGTTGGACTTGATCTAGATTTGAAGCTTTCGTGACTGCAAGGATTCATACTCTTAGTTCTTTCGGTAAAGTCACGTAGGTAAAAAATGAAATTAAAATTAATAAAAATAAAATAAAAATCACGACGTTTCGGAGGCAACACAAGTCTTCGTCATCAGGTGGAACCGTCACAGCCAGATTTGCTGCATCAAGTGAGGCAGGGATTCAAGATGCAAGCTCTTAAATACAAGTTAAGGGGGAGGAGAGGGGGGGGGAGTTTATCAGAATGTGGTAGCCAATGAATGGGACGTATGGGAGGGGGGGGCTAAAAGAGGGCACGAGGTGCTCGTAGGCGTCGACGTGAAGTGTTTGTGCGCAAGTCACTGTTGTTGCACATGATAACGTATTGGAAGGGGGGGGGGGCTAAAAGAGAGCACGGGGTGCAAGTGTACGTGGACATGCCTGTGCACAAGCACCTGTTGATGCACATGATAGAAAAT